GGTGGGAGAGGTGAAGCGGGCGGCGGCCTGAAGGAGGCGGGAGGCTGCCGCGTCCGCGCGAAGGCGGCTCGGGAGGGGCAGGGGGAACGCGGAGCGGGCGCTGGGGCGGTGGGTTTTGAGACCAAGCGTCCTCGTGGTTCGTACGGCTGTTACTGATGGATTCCAGTTATTGCAGTGGTTGAGCGATACTTGGTTTCACCTTATTCTGACAAGGATCTTGTGATGTTTTCAAGGAAAGCCGAGGAGTTAGCTCCTTAGGTATTACAGGTTTGTGGAAAATCATGATGTAAAATACGCTGAACAACTGTTTCTTAACTTGGATTTGTTAGTCTTCGCTATTATTTTTCTCTCCAAATGTATTGCATATATTTTCAACCTGCAGCAAATTCTTGTAAACAGTATTTCTAAAAGAAGCATCAGTAATTGCAGTATGCTATCATCTCCATGTGCATTTATGAAATGTTTTACTTTTTAAATTTAGATTATGCGGATAAGCCTTTGGAAAAACCTTTGAAGCTGGTCCTTAAAGTTGGAGGAAGTGAAGTGACTGAACTTTCTGGCTCAGGACATGATTCTAGTTACTATGATGACAGATCAGATCATGAGCGAGAACGACATAAAGAAAAGAAGAAAAAAAAGAAAAAAAAGTCTGAGAAGGAAAAAGAAAAGCATCTAGATGATGAGGAAAGAAGAAAGAGAAAGGTAAGCTGTGATTTTTACAGTTCAGACATACCAGTCTTCTTCAGGCTTGCTTATCAGATCTAAAATCTAGCACAGAGTACCAGAACCTTATTTTTGTTTTTTTAAATCACTGTTACAAGAAGCTTGTTGTGTGGAGGCAGCACTTCACAAATGTAGAAAACCCCTGTGTGTGTGTTGGTGTATTTCTCCCATTTAAAAGAAATATCCCTATGATGATGTTTATAACAAAGTAAAAGCTTGTTTCTTGTAACTGTTTTTCATATCCACTTGCTTTGTCTGTAGTATGAATACTTCCGTTTTTAGGTTGGATGTTTTGTATTTCAGCCAGGTCAGAAATATGTTTTGCTACCCTTTGGGGAGGGTATTTTCAGTTTTTCAAATAAATCTAGATTGCATTTCTGTTCCTAAGATACGCTAAGTTATTGGACATTGAAATTGGTATGTTTACTCAAAACAGCTTTCAGAAATCTGGTCTGTTGAGTACTGTGGTACAATAGTCTTGTTGGCTCTTGTTTAGAATAGCCTGCATGCTAGGCTTTGTGGCTTTGTTATTAGCAAATGGTGCAGTCACTTTAGTTGTCTGTGCTGAACCTTTAGGAGTTAGATTGAAATCAGCAAGAAGGCGTTGACGGTACAGTTACCTGTACAATTTCGTTTTAATAGTATTTCTTCTGTGTACTAATGGTTCTCTGACCTCTCTGGTTTTTTAATTCTCTTCTGTCATGTAGTTTTACTATTCTCGTATGACAGTTTTTTGGTACTATGTATGTGTGTATGGCTAACATCTGTCATTTCGAATTGATTTATTTGTTAGGCTTGTATTACTTGAAAGTGATGTATCTTGTAGGATCATGTGAGGCTCTTGAATACAGGGCAGAGTGGAAAATTTTCTTTGTACAAATATTTTCAAATGTTTCAGTTAAGAGTACGGCTGGGACTTGAAATGTAGCAAAACAACTGTCTTTAATACAAGAGCTTGCAGAATCAAATAAAATTATTTGGTTTGCCTGTGATAAATTGGGCGGGGGGAGGGGTGTTTGGATTTTTTTTTTCCTAGAACTTCATTATTAGTGCATGCAAAAGAAGCTAATGGATGGATAAGTAACAAAACTGTAGTTTAAACAAGGTTAATGAAAGTATGCTTTTCTGTGTGAACATGAATAATTACTGTAAGATTATAGGGATAACTCAGGCATGCCTTTGCTTTGAAGCTCAGGAAGAGATCATTAGTTGCCACCACTGTTACAGAGCATTTCTTATGGTTCTTTTGTAGGCTTCCTAAATTATCACCTGCTTTATTGATTCCTGTTTAATGCACCAAACAACAAAAACAGATTGATCAAAGCAGAGCTACAGACTGATCTTTACTGAATAGTAAATTAACTTCCTTTACTCTCTGGTGTAGCTTATTATCCATGCAATTTTACATATAAATAGTTTCAGAGTTTTAACAACATTCTTTTCAGTAAAAGTACAGTAACTAATGATAGAACAATAGTGTATTAAATACAAAGAAGCAAAAGGTGAACAGTATTAATTTTAATCAGAGAAGAAAATTGAAAAAGTGACAGTGAAAATGTATGCACTATTTTTTAAATCATATTATGGCTCAGATATAGAATGAGTATTCCAGATGAAAAATCGCTGTCTCTTACCTTTTGGTGTGTGGGATTGCACATTCCAAGTACGTTCTTCTAAAATCTGTCTTCTTCCTGCTGTGCTAGGAAGAGAAAAAGAGGAAACGGGAGAAAGAACAGTGTGACACTGAAGGAGAAACTGATGACTTTGATCCTGGGAAAAAAGTGGAGGTTGAACCTCCTCCAGATCGTCCTGTCAGAGCATGCAGAACTCAGCCAGGTGAGCAGTGTGAAAAATTAAATCATCTTGAGTGTTTTTAAAAGCACGCACAACAAAACTTTTGTCAAAGGTACCAAAATGTAAAGTTTCCATGAGGATTTGCTGAAATCTAGAGACTTTATTTTTTCCAACATTCAGAACTTTCTGCTATCTGAAAAGTCAATATTCCTCTTTGTGCTTCTGACTTTTAGTAGATTTGTTTTCATGTGACTGAACTTGCTAAGGACATCTGGCTCATGTTACTTGGCAGAATAAAGCTAGTATAAAAGTATTATTGTGCGTAGTGTTCCCCTAATTCCTTCTTCTTAGCATTTCCTCAGCATTTACAGAGCAATGGTCAGAATGTCTGAAACTAAATTTTGCTCGGTTCAAGGGAAAAAGTCTTGTGGAGACTGCTTAGCAGTTGTTACGGTCTTTTTTTATAACCTATGTGGAGTTTTAACTAATATCTCTATTTTCATCAAAAGTATGGCAGTAAGTTGTGATAGGGTGTCTCTAAAGACCATAGTCCCCCCAGTTTTCATTTATCAATCTTCTTTAATTCTCATCACCAGCCAAAAACTTACCAGTTCTGTGTGGTAACTTCTGCATGTTTAATCCCTTCAGATTTTGTGATGCTTTCTCCATCTGTAGCCATTTCTTGATAGTTAAAACTCAACATTATCCAGTGAACACTTTTACTTATAAGAATTTTCAAATACATCGTGATCTCGGTACACATATGCCTGGAAATAGAACTTAGTAGCAAAAAGTTGGGTCTTTAGGAATATTGTGAGTCCTTTCTTTGGAACACTGCCCATTGACTGGTCAAGTAATTTACTGAGGAATTTCATGACTGCACATTAAATTAAGGAACGGTGTCCATCAACTGTCAAGGTGACCTAATAGGGGTAACAGAAATTTTCTGGTCAAAGCTTTATGTCTCTGGGTAGTATGGAGCCTTGAAAAACTGACAAGCTAAAAACTGATCTCTATATTGACAAGGCTTCTCTTTTCATCTGCTTGGAAAACGTCGTTTGAAAGCATATAAATTGCCTTACCTGTTCTGGTTAAGAAAGGAAATGTCTCTCCATTATCATGATGAAGAGTTGGAGTTTTAATTATAGATTGCAGCATGCTGCTTCTTTAGTTTTTCAAACTTCACATTAAAGCCAGTCTCTCTGAAGTATATGCATGGAACAGGTAATTAATTTGTAATGTTTATTGTTTAATCTGTACAGGAAGTGAAATCATAGTCAGTACCTCTCTTGCCAGCAAATCTGCATCTATTTATCACACTTCTTTTTGACTGAAAAGATTCGGAGAAGCTAATTGCATGGGTGTTATGGTAAAGAAACAATTAAAATTGCACGGATAACATGTTGTAAGAATGTGGATTCCCAACTGCAGTATTTAAGCAATGAAGTTTCACTTTTCCTGTAAAAATACATAACACCTTACTTTCACCTTTTTAATACGTTTTCTTACAACTATTAGACTTAGCATTACGTCTGATTTAATGTCTACTAGTTTGTAATGTGATTAAAACTCAGTCAGTAGTAAAGGAGAAGAAATAGTTACCGTATGCTTAGAAATCTGACGTGCTTCTGCTTTGAAATCCACGTCTCATTGACCTTCAGATCAGTACAAGCTGTACTTGTAGTTAAGATTTTTCTCTCTGGTATTTATATTTTTAAATAAATAAATATACCTATATTCTGTTTCATTGCACATAACTGTGTTTCCGTCTCAAACTGCAGCTGAACATGAGAGCACACCGATCCAGCAATTACTAGAACATTTCCTTCGCCAGCTTCAAAGGTATTAAGCGTATTGTGTCTAGAGCTGTGTCGACAATGTCTAATGTATATTTATATGTGGTACTTTACAACTTCTTATCCTGGCTTTCTGTTTGAAAATAGTGCGTAAAGACTGGCTGTAATATATTTGGTAACCTTGCAACCATGTCAGACATGGTAGTTTCTAAATTAGTTGAAGAAAATTATTACCAACTATTCAATTCTAGCTTTTGGCGGGGAGGTGTTTTGGGCAGAGCATACATTGCAATTATAAATTTATTAAATATTAATGACTTAGTTTAGGAATTATAAAACGGTTATGAATTTTAATAGTTTAAAAGATTGAACTGTTTTCATGAAATACTGTTTTATTCCGTGTCCTCTGTCAGATACCAAAGCAAGTTTATACCTGCTTACTTGATAATCCTCTTAATTTGGAGAGGCTTGTTATTTTATTGTTTTCCATAAGATGTTAACCCTGTACCTCATGTTTTTTTTTTTTTTAAAAAAAACCAACCAAACAAACAACAGAATGTTTCATTTTCCTTTTTTATTACATAGCAATAAGCTGAATTTGGAACTAATTTGAAAATATTAAACACTGTAGTTATTTTTAGAGGACCTCACGAACAAGAAGAATCAAAGAGGTTATTACTCAGTGAAGCCAAAAGACCCATTTGGAGTGTAGAGACACAGAAAGCATACAAGAAATAATTAAGTAATTCAAGAACTAGCTGAATCCCTTTCAAAAGGTCTACATATGTGTAATCAAAATTCTCTCCTGTATCAGGAAATTTTTCAAATATGCTTCTGTTTTATGAGATTGCTTTTAGTGTTTTCTTTTTAAGTAGTACTATTCTTTTTATACCATTAATGTGGTATAAAAACAATAATCATTTTGTTTGCTGATATAAATCTAAATGTATTATTTTTATTTTTAGGAAAGATCCTCATGGGTTTTTTGCTTTTCCAGTCACGGATGCCATAGCTCCTGGATATTCCATGATAATAAAGCACCCCATGGATTTTGGTACGATGAAGGAAAAAATTGCAGCGAATGAATACAAATCCGTCACTGAATTCAAGGTGAATTGACAGAGATTTAGTTATTTCACAACTCTTTAGTAAGAAACTGAAGATTCTTTTTAAATGTAGAAGCCTTTCTTACGTTAATTATTTTAATGTGCCTTTTTTCAGAACTGAACGCGTTTGTATATTCTGTGTGTCAGAATGGGTTTCTTGCTTTGTTTTTCACTGTGGAAGTGAAAATTTGTCAGATTCTACTACAATCTACTATAAATTACTGTGGAAACCAAGAACATGCTCTAAAGTTCTGTGGAATTCATGCTGCTAGACATAAACAGGAATAATACTATCGCAAAGACTTAAGTGGTTGAAGAACCTGGAGCTCCTTTTTTTTTTTTTTTTTTAAATCTAGGCCTGGTTAGATTGATTAAAAGACAATTTTGACATGTCTGCAAGAAAACTGTGGATATACTGAAGCATTTTGTATAAGATTCAGTAACAGCTATGTATTTTTTATCTTTAATTATCCTGTTTTCCATATAACTTCATTTGGAATGGTCTTTTGGCAGAAACTTATTTGGCAGGTTTATTGGCAACTTGCCTTAGCTATGTTGTGTATTGCTATTGCTGTAATACTTTATTGGATGCATTGTCGTTTTACAGACAGTGCAGTAAGAAATCTTTTCATGGTATTGCCAGCTCCTGGAAGGAAAGCAGTTTTCTTTAACTGATTCATAAAGTTCTATTAGCTGCCTTCAGTGTTACTGTTTTCTGGAGTGCTGTTGATACAATAATAGACTTGGCAGAGAGCATTGGCTTGCTTCTCAGAGTTAATTTCTTTTGAAAGGTCCAGCAAGGTGAGCAAAGAATGGCTTATTTTTCCTATAGGTGCTTTGACAAAGATTATTCTGTTTTGTTATATATGCTTTATTTTTCAAAAAAATTAGAGAGATTTATAGGAAATAGTAAAAAAGGATTCATAATTGCATTGCCGTCAGCAATGCCTTCAGGTCTTTAGATTCTGGCTTGCTGGATTGTCTTATTCAGCAACTTAAAAAGGAAGTTTGAATGGGAGCTCTGTGGCTCTATTTAATTACAGGCAAGGTTGCAATATTGAAACTGGTGGGATAGCAACCTAAAAAAAAATGAGAATTGCAGTATTGTTTAGACTGACAGATTCTTTTTTTTCTGAAGGACTTGGTTTCTGCTGATACTCTGAGGAGCAATAAATGGTTGCATCTTACAGTGACAAAGAGGTTGGACTCCCTTGCTGGATATATGAGTGTACCTAATTATGCTTACGCCTTTGTAATTCTGTGTAATAGAGAAATGAAGTTTATAGGGTTTTGACCTCTAAAACAAGGCTTGCTCAAAGGGTTATCTTTCATTTCTGATATACCTATTATAATTAGCTGAAGCTAGCACAAGCCGATAAATAACCTGCCTAAGAGTAGAATCCGCAAGAATCCGCATTTGCTGCATTTAGAAGAGCAGAAATTGCTGCAGAAAACTCATCAGTTTTGCTGCCGAAAAAAGAGTTTACTTCAAAGTTGGGCAAGCAAAAGATTATTCTGTCTCCTTTAGTGCAGAATGTCAAAGGCCATCACTAGATGTATAGCTCGCATGGGCTTCTTTATCTGATTCTTGGCTCATAGTTTGCTCCTCCATCTCACCTTCTCAATTTCTGTTTTTGTGATGGTCTCGTTAAGTGAAGGCAGATGGCTTAAATGCCACAGAAAGTCACAGACTACCAATTGTAACTCTGTTCACCTACTTGCTTGATGACAACTACTAAATGATTAAAAGAGCACTGCTCTGACACCCCTGTGTGGAAACAGGAAGTAAAACAATTTTTTGTTTTTAGAGAATCTGATCAGGATTGCAGTAGGGCAAGCTTATTTTTTGTAAACGCTGGGTGCCAGAGAAAGTCTGTAGAAAGACTTCTATGTCCAGCCGCTATAGTAACCTTCAAAAATCTTTGTCTCAGCAAATCTATTCACTGATCTGTAAACTCAATGGGTTAACTTTTCAAAAAGCATACCATTGTGTTTGCATACACTTTTGCACAGAATCAAGTCATCATCAAATATAGTGGATTCATGCACAAAAAACATCTGCATTTGTGTCTACAGAATAAATGAAACCTAATTGCTTGAACAATCATTTTTTACATATTGAAAAGTTATTAAGAGAGAAGAATATATTCTTAAATCAGGTGCCAGTTTATTTTGTTAGGATCCAATTGTGAAGTGCCTGGAAAGACTACTGCATGATTCTTGGTTATTGATTTGCCAACTTCAGGAATTTTCAGAGGCATATAATAATGTCTTTTTACTTCAGTGTTTCATAGAGCTTCTAATAATGCTTTCTATGCTTTACAGATCAGTAGCACGTGACTAGAAAAAAGGCACCCTAGAAAAAGCTTTTGCAATCTGCAACAAATTTTTTTGGTTCTGTTTACAGTGGAGTGTGTCGCATCTGTTTTGGGAACTTGCGTCAGTAAAAATTACTTGAAATTATGTATGACGGATAACCATTCAAAGGAGAAGACAAAACCAGGCTTGGCTGCTCTGTTCTTTCATTACATGTGATGAGCATCCAGAAGGCTGTTTCTTATGCTTTGAAGTTTTCTTTTTTTGTTTTTGTTTTGATGCAAGTGACTGAAAAAGTGGTCAAATTACTAGAATTAAAATTATATGTAAGACACTTTGTATCTTTCTGATGTCATTGTATATCTCAAGTCTATTCTGATTTAGAAGGTGGGAAAACCACCAAAAAGTACTTACTTTGGTGTCTCAGTCCTTCTATTAATTACTCCATTTCTTCTGTTTGGTCCATTTGCATAAGGAGGAAACGTTACATTTGGTATTCAGGAAAAAGTGGGTTGGTTTTTTTTGTTATATAACCAAAAAGCCAATTCCAAACAAAACTGAGCATCTCGAACAAGCAAAAAGTGCTCAAACCTTTGCAATTCTGTGTTACCTTTTGGCTTGCATTTACTCCATAAGCCTGCTGCTAAAATATTATTGTGTTTTTCACAGAGCTGCCGTGATGGAATGGTATCTTCCAGTCATTTAACAAAGGAATTACAAACAAAGGAGTTTGAAATTTTAAAAGTTCTTTTGTTTTGTATTTTACAGGCAGATTTTAAACTGATGTGTGATAATGCAATGACTTACAACAGACCAGATACTGTTTACTACAAGCTAGCCAAGAAGATACTGCACACAGGCTTTAAGATGATGAGCAAAGTAAGAGACCTATTAAAAACAAAAAGCAGAAACTCTTTGGGGGTTTTATTGTCATACTTAAAAGGAACATAATTAGTAACAATGATAAATGTTATTTCATCCATCTGTGATTAATTATAGCAGTGCCTGTTAGTGCTGCTATATTTAAGGGCTTGATAGCATTCTTGTTGAAACTACACCCTTATTTCTCAACCTTATCTGCACCACTGAAGTCTGTAGGAGCTTCTTCCACTGGCCTCAGTGGAAGCAATTAAGATCCACATATATAAAACCCAATTGTAAAATATTGCTTCTGGCTGAAACTTTGAAAACAAGATCTCATTTAAGTTTTGTTTCTGCATAAACAAGAAAGCTTTTCTTTTTTGGAGGTGGGGAGGTTTCAGGGGTTTCACAGATGCGCGTGTGCAAACACATTTTTTACTCAAATACAGTTGTTGGCTTGTAAAATGAAGTTATTTTGGTGAGCTGCTCTGTGTGTTTGCGTGTGTGTGTGTGCACGCATGTGTTGCAGTTATGGTAAGTTTTGTGTAAAATAGGCAGTTGTCTTTGCATATGCAGTTTTTTTTTTTTTGTTTGTTTCTCTCTTGATAGTTGGGCTGCAGAAATTCTGATGCCATGCTACCATGACCAAATCATGTTGCATCACCATTGGAAACGAGGCATTAAGAACAAAATAAGGCCATGGCCATTCCCATCCCATTCCATTATCATAGCATCTTGGCTATGAGGGAAAGGTTAAGTCCCTGCCGCTCTGTCCTTTCTGATTCTAGGAACGGCTGTTAGCTTTGAAGCGCAGCATGTCGTTTATGCAGGACATGGATTTTTCTCAGCAGGCAGCTCTTTTGGGTGATGAAGACACAGCAGTTGAGGAACCTGTCCCTGAAGTTGTTCCTGTACAAGCAGAGACTACCAAGAAATCCAAAAAGCAAAATAAAGAAGTTATTAGGTAAAGGTTTTAATGGGCATGCTTACTAGTTCGTTGCAGCTTTTGTAATAATATTAGACAGCAGGAAAGAATTGAGGAAAAAATCTTCTTTCAGCCTTTTTCCTTGTGGTCTGTAGGATAAATGGGCAATTTTATTGTCTTTTATTTATTTGTTTATTTATAAAACTAGTTTAATAACCCAGTGATTCCCAAGTTGAAACAAACAATTCAAAGAATGACTGCATATTCTTTTAAACACTTACAGTTAATGTATATGTAGATATTTTTATCCTTCTTTATATTAAATAATGAGTAGTTTCTTCTCATTAGGTTTCATTTTTAACATAGCCACAAATACCTTTCGCATTTTGTCCTTTTTTTTTTTTTTCTTCTTCTCTTTTCTAAAATGATTGACTGTATCAAAATCTAACAGGATCTTTCTGGGAGGCCAAAGTGGTCCCAGATCAGTAAATGATTTTATTTAACTTTAGTCTTATCTGGCAGGATATAGAGGTACAGGAGATTATTTCTGGAGCAGATGATAACATCTTCCCAATGAAATCTTATTAAGCTTCTTTGTAAAATACATTGCTAGTGCAATAGCTATCTTCCAGCTAATAGGCACCCCTGTGTCACAAAGTCACGTTTTTATGGCTAAAATCTAATTTTAGTCAAATTAAAGGGTATTACTTTGTTTTATGAGGAGATTTTAGCAGAAACTGAGATTTACAAGCGAATTATGTTGTTCAGTGTTCTTACATAGGCATCCTAGGATAGATGTTGAATTTAAATTGTAAAGCATTATATCAACTGGAATTTTATGAAAATAAAACTGTAACAGAGCATTGCTAGTCATGTCTTAATCTGATCATGTAGATATGTTCTGCAGGCTTCTTTCTTAAACATCCAAAGTAAAAAAAGTGAAATGTAACTTGTTATTTCAAGTTCATGGTCTCTCATTTTTGTTGGAAGTGAACTTTAGAGTTCTGATCAGCCATATGTTTTTTGTTACACTTCAAGCATTTTTGTAATCTTGCTTAATGTCTGATGGAAGAAGTAGTATTTTAATGTAGTTGTTTTGTGGAAATAGGAGACTGCAACATGTATCTTCAAAAATAATTCTAAACTGAGTAATTTTTTTGGCTGGAACTATTCTAATGTCCACATACAGAAACATATCTGTTGCTGAATCATGGAGAATTATCACAGTGTAATTTGTTCTTTGTTTAATGGATTGTGTATAGGAATTAACTGAAAGCACCTTTCTGTAAACAAGACTTGATTGGGGGGGAGATGATTTGGTTTTTGTTTGGTTGGTTTTTTTAGAAGATATGATGATTTGGTTTGTGTGGTGCCCAGAATAATAATTCTCTTCTGATTAATTCTTACATGAACTCTATTACAGGAGTAACTTTGTACTTTGCCATGTTTTGTGTGCTCACCTTCAAATACAGATAGCTAACAGAGCAAGAAATTGAGACTGCCAAGCAATATAGTACTGCTCTGTCTTTAATATCTACCTTAACATACAATTCAGATAGTTAAAAATAACTGACCTTTAATTTTATCCTGATACCAGTTTCCTTGCAATCAGTTGTGGTATAAATTTACTTTCCTGTTCTTTTCAATGTTTATGTAGCTTTAGCAGTTGGAATTAATTTGTTTTTTCTAATAACTTGACTTTTTAAACACTTGTATTTTGGCATCAAGAGGATAGATATTATTCTTCTCGATGTACAATAGGAGCTTTGGGGGGAGAATCGAACCTAATAGCAGATATTTTTGCCTTCCTATTTCACAGTTAAAAACAGAGAAAGAGCTGAAGTCAATGTTTGCAAAGTGTTAAAGCAGTTTAGATCTCTATACTGTAGTTTAAAAAGTGACTTGATCACTTGGACATCCTATATCTAAGTAGTTTTTGAAAATTTTGTCCAGGATGTTGCAACCTTCTGAACATTCTCTCAAAATTCTTGTCTGTTAAGTATTCTTTAGAGTGTGATAGAAAGTGCCAGTTGTTTAGGAGTTTCCTGCTGTGTACACCCTTTCTTAAAGTTTCAATGAAACAAAAATCCTGTAACACATTTGCCTCATAATAGTATGATCCTGTGATGTTTTTATTGTTTTTAATAGCAAAACTTTCTTGTGTATCGGATCTGAATCTCTATACAGAGAGAAATTCTTAGCTAAGCAAATGGAAGAAGATACCCCAGGAGAGAGAAATGGATTTGGTGTGAGGAGATGCTCTACCCAGTACCTAAGGTGTTTGGCCCTAGTGTCTAATGTCCGTATAATGCCCTGAAAGATTTTGATGTACAAAGTTTATTTTAAATATATAATATAATGAAGACTGCCATATCTTATGATATCTTCACACTTCCCCTTATAATACTACCTTTCTCTGATTTTATATAATAGCTAAGATATGTCCTGTTCCATCTTAGGTATGCTTATTTGTTATGTTTTTATTGTTTTGGTGCTTTAATGAAAAGGGATCTACTGAAGGATAAATGTTAAATTCTGTAATTTCAATGAGAAGGAATAATGTGATTGATACTAATTAGGAATACTAATTGCCAATATTAACAAACAGGAATTAAAGGACTCCCTGTTAGACTGGGAGCAGTGTCCTACTTTTACAAGCAACTAAATGACATAATCCTCATAAATGCAGCCTGTTTCTTGGTTTTTTTCCTCAGATTAGAGTTACACAGTCTCCATTCCCTCATCACGTAATTTCTTTTCTGCATCTTTCTATTTGGAATTTGTGAAACTAGCAAATTTGTGCATGTGGGAGACTAAGGACGCATACAACATTCACCTTGCAATTTTACTCCCAATCTCTGTTTTGTAATACTTCCTCTATTTTCGTCAAGGTACAGAAAAAATTTTTGAAGTTCAGTAGTTTGGTAGTTCTCAGCTTCTGCTGCAAAACTTCAGTTTCATAATATGATTATAATTCCACTTAAATGCTAAAGTATAAAGTAGACTGATACTGGGAGAGGAGTGGGACTGATTGTTCTATTTAGCAAACCCAGAATTCAGCTGTTTGTTTTGTTTTAGCTTTTAATTTCTACAGCTACCCCTCTTTTCTTTCTTAGTTGCATATTTGAACCTGAGGGAAATGCGTGCAGCCTAACAGATAGCACTGCTGAAGAACATGTCCTGGCACTAGTGGAACATGCAGCGGATGAAGCTCGGGATAGGATCAATCGATATCTACCCAACAGCAAGGTCTACTGCACAACAAAGTTCACAATTCCATTTTGTGTCTGACTATTGAATGCTTTGTTTCATCTTGGGAAACAGGCTTTAGTGTTAGGTTTTCTGAGACTATAGCATCTAGGATGTATGCTCTGTGTGGAATACCAATATGACTATTGTCTATCATTTAGTTCCCACTGAAGCCCATTGTAGGGTGTCCTAAATGGATCTGAAGTTGTATTGTGTGTTTAACGTCTTTAGAAATTCACTTGCAAAAAACAGGGAAATGTTGCTCAGTCTTGAATTTGGCTTCCCTAATTGCAACCCTTAGCATCGAAAGTGATTAAAATAGCATCACACTACTTATTGTTGCAACCTCAGAAAAAACAAACTTTGGCATAGGTTGAAGGATTATTAGGATTTCCCCCCCAACCTAAGGAATTCAAGAAAATTTTAAGTGTTAAATTACTGTTTTCAATGAGAAGTCCAGAACCTCTTGTCATTTTGTATTTACAAGTAGTAGCTGTCAGCTGTAGCATATTCTTGTGTGAGTACAAAATACAGACATCCTTCAGTGACTAGGAGAAGATAGCAGTACTTTGTCCATGTTGGAATTTTGGACAGTACTAACCACAAGTTTGATCATCTTGAACATGATTCTGATACTGTTCCATGTATTTGGGTTTTGTGCTGTTCCAAGAGTTAGAAGGAAAAGCTCAGTAATACTGTTAATGCAGTTTTCTCAGGACGATCTGTTTATGGGCCGTGTTTTTCTTACCTATGTGATAATGATGGATTCCTTCATTACTTCATGCTAGGGTTGGAGTGAATGCTACAGGCCTGTGTTGAGATGTTTACTCTCTGTCCCTTTCATCGTGCGGAGTCTTATTACCATCGTTACACTTTGTCCTCATTCCTCATTCTGTCACATACTGTAGTGGCCACTGCAGTCGAAAAAAGAATCAGGATGTTGCTACATCCTGCATTTTCCACCTATTTTTTTTAACAACTGTTGCAGAAAAAACATTTGCTTTGAAGCATTAGTGGTAGCAGTTGTGTCTTCAAACTTAAATGTCTATTTCTTGGACAGCGTCCCTTGTTATGCAGTAACCTTAGGCTCAACTGGATTAGGAAATAAAGCCTCAAAGAACAGCGGGAGAAGGTTTCGTTTCTTCAGTGTATTTCTGTTTCTTTGGATAATTAGAAGACTTGCTAGGATTGAAGGCTATTTGAAACCTCCAAAGTAAGAGTGGCTTTTTAAAAAACCTATAAAGCAATACCAATCTTCTGCTAATTGCTAGCTTTATTGAAAAGGCCTTTCATGCTGATGCAGTCAGTTTTGCGGTGTTGAGGAAAGAGTTGTTTTAGGTGTGCAGCTCTTAATTGTCTAGGCTGTTAATCAGCTAGACAACCCTGAAGATCCCACTGAATCTAGGTAACATTGACACGTTCTTAGAGTTCAGCTATTGTTAACTTTTGCCACCACTTGAAGGTATTGTTCTTGCTCATTCTCTTTCCAGCATTTGTCACCTCTATTTTTATGATACACCAACATTAGCTTTGGCCTTATATATGGAGAGAGTTTTAAACTTTTCACGAGGGAGGGAAGGAAAAACAAAATAGGGGAGAGATATTTTGTTCAATTTACTTGGAAGTATTTACTAATATTTCTTTAGGGAGAGCATAGTTTTCGTTTTCTGTCTTTACTGAGAAGTTACAGTCTCTTTTGTACGATTCATGTGTAGTCAGTTTCTAGCATCAGCTTAGTTTCTTGCATCAATTCTGGCTCTATCTTTACAGACCCCAGTGTGTTCTATCGTCTTTCACATCTCTGGCTGTCTTTTTAGCATTGTGTTTATGTGCTCTGATAGGTCTGTCACAGCACCTCTTCCTCTAAGAATTTGATAGTGTGTTCATAAAAGTACTTCTAATGAGAGAAAGTTGTGGGTGAGATATGAAAACAAGCAGTTCAGTCTAGATTTGAAAATAAATAGTACGGTAGATTGTGGTTAAGAGTTACAGTTCTGCTTCTAAAAAGATAAATGTGTTCTAGGCTTCGCAGTCAGAAAGCCTGGCTCCATACTAATTATAACGGAATTGTTTTTGTCCTGGATGCAAACTTTAGATCTGAGTTATATATAGGACATACGAAGTTTTACTCCTACGTCTTCTGTTCTGAAGTATTTGCTAGGTGGTGATAAATAGCTGTGACCCAAGATTCTCTGTATTAAAAAGGGAATACCAGAGTGCAGGATCTGAATACAGCTAAAAATGCTTCTTATAGTTTTCTGTGTAAGTAAGCAACTCCTCCTTTGAGTTTGGACTGTTTTGGATGATTGCTTCTGTGTCTTTGTGGTTCTATTTACAGATTGGTTATCTGAAAAAAAAAGGAGATGGAACTTTATTATTTAGTGTAGTAAATTCATCTGATCCAGAAGCAGAAGGTAAATGCCATAATCTTTCAAGCAAACATTTCTAATGTTGAATGTTCTAGCAGATTTTGAAGTCTTAATTGAACATACAGATCCTGTGTAGTATAGGTGAGTTTTCAAAAAAAAAAAAAAAAAAAAATTTTTCCTCAACAGCTATATTTAGTATCTCAAATATAAGATGTTTCTCTTTGCCTTTCAAATTTTCACTCTCCAGATGCTCTGTTTTACTGATACTAACAGTAAGAAGGTAAAATAGTATCTATTTATAAGCACTTATACATGGCTACAACTTTATAGAGAACTTGGAAGACAAGCTTTTGCTCCTAGTACCCTGTAGTGTTAAAATCAAAAGGTGAATGAAAGTGCTGTAATCCTATGTAAATGTGCAATGCACAGATGCAAATTCAGAATCATCTTTTACCTTTTTTATTTCCCAATTTAAATAATTAGCTAAATTTCAGTTTTAAGTTAATTAGGTTTTGCTTAATTGTTTCTCTTTAGCTCCTTGATCTTTTCTGTGGGTTTTTGTTTGTGTTACTACTATACATTATTTATATTGTCGTATGCTTTCCACTTATTTTAGTTTTGAGCTCAAAATGCGGAAGTGTTGAAAGTTTGTAATGAAATGTCATAGTCTTTATGCTGTATGTCATGTTGATTTAGCACTTCCTTCTCTGCACCTTTTGAGATTGGAATTCATTCACAGCTTACCTACTGTTGCGTTGATAAATGCATGAACCCTTTTGACTAGTCATGTTTCTGTTGATTTTTTGATTGGGAGATACAAGCCTGTAACTCTATTACTGTCAAAATTCCTTTTCATTTGCTAGTAAATTTTTCTGGAATGAAATTGAGCATTTCGGCTGCCATTATGCCCTTACCTGTTTTTGAAAAAGTCAAATAATAAAGTGAATGTGATTTTAATACCTCTGAAATCATGCCACTGAAAATTTAAGACAGTGATGGTAATGGGAGCAGAGCAAGCTTTCACTATGTGCTGTAAAGTACTCTACTGTTTCCTGATGTTTCTGTGCTGCAGAATGTTTTTTGATTGTTCTTGATAGTTAAGACTAGTTATACAGAATTTGCAGCTAATAGTATAATCTGAATTTTTTCTTGTAGGTTTTTTTTTTTTTTTTCCTAGTAAGGTTCTTCGGATAAACTTGCGTTCTGTTGTTCAGTAATTGAGCATAATTACCATTAGATTCCATAACAGCTAGAGAGATTCAAAATAACTGGAAGTGTCCTAAATATTGTTGGGATTAGAGAACCTGAATTACACTACCTATCCTTAATAAAAATGTACAGATTAAAAGACATTTAGCCTTTATAGTAACTGCAACTTTTTAAAATAGCAAAATCTAAATATTCACCATAAATAAATTTTAAACATGAAATGCTTTTCTAAAAATTATTATCTTCTTTTAATCAAATTATTAGAGGAAGAGACTCATCCAGTGGATCTGAGTTCACTGTCAAGCAAATTATTACCTGGCTTCACTACACTGGGCTTTAAAGATGAACGAAGAAATAAAGGTAAATGCCAAAGAACATGTTTTAATTTTGTGTTAATTAAGTTTGAGCAATTTCTTGATAGAAAATAGTTCCAGATTGTACCTGTCTCCAAATGAAAGTTCACTTGGTTGTTTCTATAATATACAATTTTTCCATTTACAGTAGAATGCAGTTTTAATTAAATTTAGTTTTTTGCTTATTAAACATTACTTAATTAGGAGTTTATGGATTGATGTTTTGCCTTAGTGTAATAGCCACACTAGAAGCTTTCCAATAATGGTATTCCATTTTCTCTGGAGGAAATAATTTTTCCTGAGCAACTGTGCTTAGAGTTGAGAAAAAAAACTTTTGGTCATTTGCATTTTTGTATCATATGACAAGGATTTCACAAACTGTGGATTTTTTTTTTCTAGTATTACTGACATTTTTAATGGTTTCTAAACTGCTGTCCAGAAACTGATGACAACAACAACTGGCAAACAACAGTGAAGTAGACACATGCAAAAAGCAGAAATATAAAAAGGCGTGGGGGGATGAATTTTTTTTTGTTGGAGTGGGGTGGTTAACTTAGTTCTTTATTTTCCAGTAGCGTAAGTATGTTTATTTATATGGTTAAAATAGTTGCGCTGATTGTAGAGTCTGGAATTGTCCTTGAGATACTGCTCTTGATTTCAATTGGAGGAAAAAACACACTGCATTTTCTGTATCTGTTTCAGAAAACAAAATCTTCTTTTTCTTTTTTTTCCCCTCAAGTGATCTTTTACACTTGTGTTAATTATTTCTCATCTCTTTCTTCTACCTGTCTAGTAACCTTTCTTACAAGTGCTAGTACAGCACCCTCCATGCAAAACAACTCTATATTTCATGATTTGAAATCAGATGAAATGGAACTCCTGTACTCAGCATATGGTGATGAAACTGGAATACAATGTGCCTTAAGGTAAGCACTTCCTTATTAGGAGGCCTAACTTCTCATAGCAATTTTATGAAAAGCAATTTGGACTAAATTGTCAACTAGGAGCCTCCAAATCCTGATATATTTTCTAAAACTTATTTTAAAAAGAACTCACTATAAAACTTGAAGCTAGCTTTCATCCTGGTTGGTGGGGTCTTTTTTGGGTTTGTTTTTGGTTTGGTTTTTTTTTTTCCATTTGCACTTTTAAGTTACCCTATTTTATAGCAAGGCTGTTATGGATCTTGTTATTAGGGTCTTTGACCACAGGATATTATAGGTTGCTAAAGATTTTAGCGTTTTGCTTTAAACCCAGCACTAAGTAGGTTTAGATATGCAAGTAATAGATTTCAGTGACTTTAAAACAGTGATATTTTTCAAGGAGTTTCAAAACAGTTAAAGCTACTTGAAAAGGAAAATGCCACTTAACATTAAATTGTTAATCTGGGGGGGAAAGAATTAATGAAAAGGTTTTTTCTTTTCTATGTGTTTTTTTTTAACCCACTACCAATGATAGTTGAAGTGAAAATTTGCTGGTAGTTGTGAAAAACAAGTTTGCACATACATTTATTTCCATTTAAAAAAAAAAAAGAGAGAGAGAGAAGGAAAAAAAGCCCTATCTGGAAGGCCTTAATTGCTTTTCTGAAGAAGCATAGAAGAGTAAAAGAACAAGGAAAATGTAGGTGTAATGCAGCGTAGTTGGGGAAAACCATATTATAAGTTGAAATTTTTTTACAAAAGTAAACATTTTCTGTAATGCTTATATCTCCATTCCTACTAGCTTACAAGAATTTGTGAAGGACGCTGGAAATTACAGCAAGAAAATAGTAGATGATCTTCTGGACCAGATCACTAGTGGAGATCATTCCAAAACTATTTATCAGCTAAAGCAGGTGTGTCCTTGATGCACAGAAATGTCACAAGTTCATCAAAATAAGAATGGACCTATTTCTGCTTTTTAGTATTGTATGAGATACTTTGTTTTCCACTGTCAGTTTAAGCAGTGCAGGCTTAGCTGTTCATGCTAACTGTTCATCCAGGTCTGTTTAATATCTTTATCAATGA